GTTGGCCTCTAGGCTGTGACTCCTGTTATGACTGTACCTATTTCCAAAGAGTTGTGCCCTAAACTTGCCCATCTCCTGGCTCAACCCTGTAATCTGGGTAAAGGCAGACCAATACAGACATGCCAGCATTTCATACTGGGAGCCAGCAGAAACCCCAGCCATGGGCTGGTTGCTAGAGCAGGAAGGGACAGAAGCATGTGGGCAGCTCCTTCAGAAACAAAGCGACACCTCCTGTGTGGCAGCCCAGGCCTATTGAACTGCATATCCAGTGCTCCTGTTTAACAGGTGCATTCCCTGCAGGGCAGGAAGGGTTTTGGAGAGCTAGGTAGTGCATTCTGACCCCTGTGGTCAGAGGAGTTTTAGTTTGCTGCGCCCCAAATCATTTAAGGCACATTACGCTGCTGAATTTCCTACAGTGGCTAGAATTAATGCACAATATACCGCTGAGGCGTGCAAACAGTGACACCGTTAAAGCGGTTCAAAAGCATTTAGTCCGCTTTAAAGTGTCGTGCACAGATGCCTTTCATTTCATCTACACACGGCCTCTGTCTCTAGCCTCTTCCCAGGTATTCCAGTCTCTCACCCCTTATAGGTTCTACTTTGAAATGTAAATGTAGCTCCCTGCTTTCTTATGTCATGTCAGAGGCAGTTTGTAGATGTGCTTACCATTTTCTAAACCGTGTTAACTGATTTGCATCAAGTTCGAATCCAATTTGAATTCAAATTAAGGGTTAATAGATGATTTGATCATTGATGGTCAGTGAGGTTTTCTTGCATTTCTTCACTTCTGCAGTAGAGACAGCAGGGGCTGTTAGACACTGCCCACCACTCACAGTTAGTCATAAAAATGTGCTAACTTGCTACACCTGGTGGTGGGCATGAGCAACAGCAAACCCTACATATCTGCCATATATACATGTTAATTAATACAGTTTATATTGACTAGTTTGGATTGCCATAGTCTGCATTAACTTTAATCCTCATTCAGTGAAGATTAGTTAATTCAGACTGGAGCTAATTTTAATTCGGACTACAGGCATCCACATATATGTAGTGATGGCTGTAGTCTGAATTAAGCCTAGAAAAACATGATGTCTTTAAACAGCCGGAGTGTTTAAGCAGCGTGGCCCCTTCCCTGCTAGCTCAGGTCACACATGTAGCTTCAGAATCGGTTAAAGGGCCAGTGACTGTTATGACTATGCCAGGTCTTTGCCAACACTGGGGATCCATGGTCTGTGGGTGCAGTGAGACAGGCCGTGGGCTGGGCTCTTTGGAAGGCAAAGTTAGTAGGGGGCAGGTTGTGGTGTTTGTATCTTGCCTGAAAGGACAGGGTGGCCTTGATCTGATTTGCTCTGCCTTCAGTGTTGTAAGGACAAGCTAATGCCAGCTCTCTGTCCAATCCTCCCCTTCTATGCAGGTTGTGAATGTAACAGGCAATCAGGACATCTGTTACTACAACTTCCTGTGTGCGCACCCCTTGGGTGTCCTGAGGTGAGTGAACCTCAGCATGTACTTTCCCCTTCTGGGTGCGAGACTGTCTCAGCCATGCACACTCAAAGGCTGTTCTCTTTCTCAGATATTGCTTCGTGGGGGAGGGGGACCTCCTTGGGAGAGCGTGTTTTATACTGGCCCAGCTTATGAAGATGGCATTCATGACATCCTTAGGAGGGCAGGGCTGGGAGTAGGTCTCCCCATGCCCTGTCTGAATGACAGGGATGGTTTCCACTGAGACAGTAAGTGGAGCCCAGGGCCCTCAGGCACAAGGGAAGACAAACTGTGTGATGCCAGTCTTTGAGTGGAGTCTTTGCATGGGAGCCCCCAAAGGTCATCCCTATGGCTGCCCTGACAAACATCTGCTCACTGGGGAGGGCCACAGGGCTGCTCAGCCTTTACTCCAGACACCCAGAGGAGCAGCAGCTCTTCAGAGGGGTTCAGGTCAGCCTGGCTGTGTCAAAGAAGTCACTGTTCAGAGGGGCAGCAAGGAAGAACCTTGTTGGGGTGTCTGGTAAGTCAGATCACTGGGCCAGGCCAGACCTGCTCTGCTGAGCAGATAGGGGTGTTGAGCATGTGAAATCAGACAGCTTGGATCCTCATCGCTGCTGTGCCAAACCTTCCCTCCAGCCTAAGACCACATGTGTTGTTTGGGTGCCATACCCTGGCCAGAGTTGTGCAGGAGGTCAGACTAGCAGGAGGACCACTACTGGCCCTTCTGGCTTTAACATCCATGTCTTTGATGCCTGCTTGAACCAGCCCAGGTCTGGGGTGATGTCGAGTGGTCTGTTCCATCCTGCCTCGCTCCAACTTGCTGTTGTGGCCCCTGCCCATCTACCTCTTAGGGATATCCTTTTCTCTCCACAGTGCCTTCAACAATGTCCTCAGCAACATGGGCCATGTGCTGCTGGGATTGCTCTTCCTGC